TCTTTCGATTGAAGTGGAAAGCAAATGGGTATTTACGAGTATTTAGTACCCCGATAATTTTTATAAATGAAATAGTTGTAGGCTACGATGAGATGGAGCTGTTTATTTAGTTTCAGGAGGATGTTAATAATTTTATAAAAAGGGGTCTGTACCACGGACTAATATAATTAGAGTTATAAATATATATATTTTTTATTTTTTTTTTTTTTTTTACAAAACCCTGTGATAATTTATTACGCTAATCCATATTCTGATGCTCAAAAACATTCTTATGCTTAGAATGTTGAGCATCAATTTCTATTCACGGAAACTGAAATCGCTCGTATATCAGTGTTTAGGGTTATATAATTTCTACCCGATCACATCGCCGGCGCAATGTTTAAGTAACGAATGTGAGTCTGTTTAACGTTGCACATTTAACTTGGTGCCGACGATATGTTATGTATGATGTTTTGCTTCCAATATATTTCTTCGAATGCTTAAAGTATCCTAATACAAAGAAAGTATTATAGTTTTAAAAAACTACCTCTACTGCCCCCCCCCCCCACGTTATTGGCTAGCTGGTGGCCTACGTGGCACGGTGCCACTCTCACAGTAACTGGAGTCACCTTCAACGGCAATTGAACAGTTCATTGAAATGCAGCTAGGGCCACAGGTCCATAGCGCTTGTATAAATAGTTTCATCAAGTCTTTTCGTATTCCCTCCGCGTCTTCTCTTGCCAACTCTCGCAAATATGACAATTTATCTTCCATTGCCTCTGCTTGAGTGTAAATCTCTTTTTGTAGCTTCAATTCAATCAGCGGTTTGTGTATATTTATCCACTTAGTGAAAAAGGATTTAATAAAGTTTTAAAGATATATGTATAATGCAAATTTATGCAGACAAATAATGTTTCTTTCGATAAAATATATATATATCTTTTTGTTATGCCTCTTCTAAAAATCTATTAGATCTTTAGTCGCCTGAATCAGTCATCACTAACTACCTCCAGCTCGACAGCATTTTTGTTGTCTGCGTTAAGGATCATTTGTAAACACCTTTATCAACCTTCTAACTTTCTTGGAACACTTAGTCAAGATATTCCAAAAACAGTTTCTCTACGGAATTATTGGGTTTGTTTAAATGTGACAAATTAGGGATATACGTCCTGATCTACATTCCATCGTTTTTCAGATAGTCTATGAATGTATATGTAGGTTTATATACTGAGTATGGATGTTATAAAGTACTGATATCTTGTTTTCCCCTATAACTAAAGAAGCCTTATTATTGTCTTTCTTCGAGTAGGTTGATAGTAAATGTACATTGTACTTACTTAAATGTACATATTTTGCATGTTTAAAATATGTTTAAATACATGTTTTCTTTTCTTCAGTTTATATTCTATATCCTCATACCTGAGTGAAACGACAAGAAACAGCTCGACGTTCCCGATTACTTCAGCACTTACTAGACAAACGCTCTAAATTTCCAATTAATAACAAAAGACTCATATACATGACTATAATAAGGCCTATTTGGACTCAGGAAGTTGAGCTATGTGGCTCCACTAAACCATCGAATTCCTCTCGTATCCAATCCTTACAATCCAAAATCCTTCGTAAAATCCTCAATGCTCCCTACTTTGTTACAAATAAAACCATCCATAATGACCTTAATGTTTCTTATGTTTCAGATCTGGCCCATTCCAGATACCTATCCTTCCATAATAAACTTCAGAATCATCCCAACCCTCTCGTTTTTAACCTTGCTTCCTCTTCAATTCCTGATAACCCTCCGAGGCCTCTGAAAAGAAGATGGTTTTTGATTTTTGAATGCATTAATGAAGTAATGCTAATTTGTTAAGCATATTACTAATGATAAAAAAAAAAATGTTTAGTCCAATAATTGGAATCACCTTTTATTTATTTTTCTTTGTCACTAGGAAGGTAATGTTACTTTAGATGTATAACTTTTTGGAAATAATAAACCATTATGAAATAATTTGCAGCGTTTTTTGTTTTAATTTAACAACGTCATATTTGAGGGGGGAAAAAGAACCTATACCACTGCAACCCACACTGATCTTGGGTTCATTACTTTGTAAGAAAGTACTGTTTCAAGACAAACGGTTGTGTAGAGAGGTGATCGAGCTGGGAGCATGCTCTTCCGCCACGTTTCTCCCTTTATTTAATTATGGGTACCCACTTTATAAATACTAGGTGTGCCCTAGGAAGGTTTCCCGGTCCCAAAGTAATCCACGGCTGGTAAAACAGAATAAATAACTTATTTCCTGCCATCAGCCTGATTCGAATCCGGGACCTTGCGTTCAGGAAGTCACTGATTGAACTTACCTGCTATTTTGGGTGCCATGTTTGAGGCTAAGTAAAAACAAGCATTCCATTAAGACAGTATTTAGTAACGTTCGGTACCGTCTTATATCTCATAGCTGCCAGTCGTTAAGGTTTTGAGAGGAAAGCGCTGCTATCTTTTAGGGAAGCAGGCTATTTAATTATAATTTATTATGAGACTATGGGGACTGTTCTTTTAATTTTCCCGTTTCAGTTTATTTCACTTTATTTAAAGAGATTCAAACAATGATGTCTGTCAATGTCTTACGAATCCAAAGTATCCATCCCATATTCTAGCTCCCTAGGGTTAACCCACGACGTATTTACTCAATCACACCCTGCGTTGGGTTGTAAATCAGGCAGGCACGGGTGCTGTTGAATCGTTGGGGTCACGATAGTAGCTAGCGTGCCTCCGAGTACTGGCGCCTCTGGGCTCTGCATAGCTTGCGTGCCGTCTGTCTTCCCTCGGCTCTCTTGCAAGTGCTTCAGGAATAAGGTGCCTATATTATTCCACCTCGCGGGTCTATTATTAAAAGTCATCATGGGTACTTTAATCGATGTGGGGGTATTACATGTGCCACAGACTGTTTGTCATGTTGCGTACAAAAAATTATTAAGTCACATCGTCGTTTCTATTGTAACCAAAATACATCCCATCGTTATACTTTGGATTGGTTGTAATATCAGTAATGATGATAGGAATGAAAAATATAGAATCAAATAATTAACAATTTTTCACTTGTTACACATTCTCGATTCTTTGTATTTTCTCACCTGCAACTGACTAAATAAAATTCCTGACGTACCTGCATTTATTTTTTTCAACGTCAGGAAAGTATTTTAATTATTCAACAAATTTCACGATTTCGTTTGGAGTACTCGTCAAGGTATAATAAGTTTGAAAATTACTTATTTTATTTTTAAAATCTTTTCATCTTCCAATTACTCCTGATCTTTTTCTTAACTACTGATTTTTTTTTAAGATATTTTTTTCCTATATTTGTGTATAAGAATAAAATTCAAATCCTTAATGAGCTAAAATGAATAATTTATGGCTGTCAATTATTCGAACGGTATAGAAATAAATTGATTATGACTTGTATAACAACTTTCAACAAGACCTCACAAAATTTATCAATAGTCTTGATTATGACCAACTGACCAAAAACTGAATAAATGGTAAGCATGTCAGCTAAGGTCACTCATAATTTTGTATAATATATTAATTTACAAAGAATGTGTACAATTATATATACCTGCTTTATTACTTTTGTAATTTTAAGAAACTCTATGCGTTGAATTTTATATCTTTTCTTATTAATTTTTATTTTAGTTATGTTTATAGTAACTATTATGTTTAAATTGAATTCTGATTCTAATTGGTTGATGTTAATGTTATTTGATAAAATGTTAAAAGAGTGCTCAATGTACATTTATATGGAATGTGCCATAATAAACGCTTCTTTCAAATGGTTACTTTGAAAGGAAAACAAAAAATTAAAATGATGTTAGTGTTCGATGATTACACCAAGGCGTTGGTGGGAGTATTGCATTCAGGGTTTTGACGGGAGTCTAAGGGTAAATAATGCAGGTATTGTCGGTGGTATCGGATTCGAACCCTTCAGTGTGCCTTGGCATGCTATTACATTATTAATATAACTGTTCTTTGAGGTATTATTACAACAAAAACCTTTAACTTAATGATTTGACAGCGTGAAAGAACTATTTTATCACTCTTACCCTTGTCCTTAATTGTGACTCAATGTAACTCGATAAAGAACTAATGATAGTAAAAATTTAATGATACACGATTACTACAATTTTTTAAATATATATATATATATATATATATATATATATATAAAAATATTATGTATTATTAGATATTTAATATATATGTTTATTTGCTAAATTTCCATTGTTTTCAGCACTGGCGGAACTACATGGAAGGGGGGAGGCTTTCGAGCTAAAGCTTCTCTTATCCCCCCCCCCCAAAAAAAATTGTGAAATATTACCTGTTTTATGGAAAAATATTAAAAAATCATCTGTTTGAGTATTATTGCTCGTGTAATAACATTTAATAGGACTTAAAGAAATACTTAACACACCATTTCGTATAGGTAGTTAGTTTTTTTTCTTTTTCTTCCAAAGTAATTATCGTTATATTTGAAAAAAAAAAAAAAACTTTCGGATTGAAGCTCCTGCCTCCTCCAAAATGAAATCTTGGATCCACTAGTGGTTTTTATCAGCTAACAGTGTGAACGTATGTCGATGAAAATTATGTGTCTTCTTTTAATTAATACTCAACTTTATAAATACTCTACTTTAATAAATGCTCTACTTCATTAAAAGTTCTATTGAACATGAACATCATAATCATATAGTATATATTTAAAATACTATCTATATAAATTATTAGATCATTCCTAATTATTTTTACTTACGTTTTATATATTTTTTTTAATTGATTAAATTCAGAAAGTAACTAATATTTTTTTATTATGACTATTTATTTTGTGACTATTACTTGTGTATCTCTGAGGCTCTTTAGCCCACATCTCTGTATTATTGTATTATTCTAATGGACTTGTTCATAGACATTATTTTATTATTTTTTATTTGTTTGCTATTTTTAAATTTTACTTATGGTTTGTATTTTCTTGTTTCAGCTCCGGTCGGCCGGTAGAGTGCAAGTATGAATGAGTTGGACAGCTTAAGACAAGAAGCGGAAACATTAAAAAATGCAATACGAGTAAGTTCTATTTGTATTTAAGGATTCTATCTAGTCATTAAAACTGATCTAAGTATCAAAAACATAATATTTTTTTTTTTTTTCACTCAATGTCTTCAGTTCTTGAGGCCTGTTGAACAAGATAATCTATATATACAGTGATTTTTATGTGTTTTCTTTGTTTATTATTGATATTTATGCTTTGTGGTTGAATTCTGGTTCATTTGTTTTTCTATATTTTATGTTAAGTATGTTAAAAGATATTTTTCTAACGAATGAGCTCATTTGATTTGTATTCCGTTATGTTTTTGTGGCAAATATGACTCTAAAAAATCCAGCGTTTACTTTCACAATTACTGTTGCTTTAATTTTTACATTAAAATAAATTATGGTAGAAGAATTTGCAAGGAATTATCGTAGGGTGGTCTGACTCTTTCGTAGCCTAAGGAATGTCTGACTCATAACTCTGGGTTCTTTAAACCTCACCCTTCTCAGCTTCTTGGAACTCTCTCAGAAAACGGAAATTCTTTTGGAACTCATCACTTTGCTAGTCGACTGTCTTGATATACAATGATCACTTGATATACAATGATCACTTATATACCAGTATTGGGATTGATCAATATGCCATTTAAAAGAAAGAAATGTGTGTTTTTAAAATTAGAAGTCAACTTTTCGGCCTAATTAAGTGAATCATCTTCTAAAAGTCTTTTGGTATAAAAAAGACTAGAAAATATCTGTATTTAACATCACTATCGACAGATTTTTATTAAAAGAGTTATAAGACAATCTAGGGCATTGGGTATTGTAGTTCTATGTGTACATTCATTCTATTCCTGTACAAAATAAAATAAAATAAGATACAAATAATAAATAAATAGATAATGATATTAAGAAGATGAATTTACATTAAAAGAATAATAAAAAGACAGAATATTTGTACACAAATATTTATACCTTTATATAATATTTACCATTCGGTACTAAAATGTAGTTTTCTACTGTATTTTTTTTTTTATTGAATAGTCATATAATATACCTCTTAAAATAAAAAAAAAATTCTAGTGTGGCAGAGAAATATTACATGAAAAAATATCTAGAGAAATTACCTATTGGTAGCACTCGTAATAAAATTTCTAAATTATGTCATGATAAAAACAAAAAGATCTTTTCAGACGCCTCTGAGTGTTATCAGGGATCGAAGAGCAAGCAAGGATAGATATCTGCATTTAGCCAAATCGGAAACATATGGAACATTAAGGTCGTTATCACGGGCGGATCTCCGGGGGGGGGGAGCTTTCGGGCTGAAGCCCCCCCCCCAAAATCGAAAAATATAACCATGTTTCATGGGGAAAAAATTTAAAAAATACCTCTTAAAGTATTATTGTTCGTGTAATAACATTTAAAAGTACTTAAGGAATAACTTAAACACCATTTCATATAGGTAGTTAGTTTCTTTCTTTTTTTCCAAAGTAATTATCGTTATTTTTATGAAAAAAAAAGGTTTCGGGCTGAAGCCCCCCAAAATTAAATCCTGGATCCGCTAGTGAACGTTATGGGTGATTTTATTCGTAACAAAGTACGGAGGAGTTTAATTGTAAAGGAAAACTCACTTACTACTAACTAAAATTATCTTTTTCTTGATACATGTAAAGTAATTTAACATTATTCCAATGAGAGGAGCTACTAAAGAAGTATTTATATGAAGTTACAGGGCTTGAATGAATATTCTTCAAATTCAATCTGATTATGGACCAGATGCAATGATTGAATAAAATGGCTTACTAGCCAAAACGTAGCCGATGGAAATTGAAATAAATTTGGTGAAGGAATAACAAAACACAGCCTTATTTTATATTATTATAAATACTTCACCTAGAGAGAGAAACACTTTATTTTCATAAAATATAAAGCATTGCTGTCCAATTATATTGGGTTGCTATACACACAGCATACTCTTCTATCCTTAGGACAATATATGAACTTATATATAAATATACAGAAGTCTTACTTAATATTAGTAAAATATATATATATATATATATATATATATATATATATATATATATATATACATTTTTATTATTTATTTTTTCCATTTTACACAAATAAGCAGATATGAATGAATATTCTGTTTTACTTGTGACAGAAAGTTGAAAGTTCTTAAATAAAAAAAATACATTTGAAAGCTGCATTTTAGTACCGAATGTTAGTTTTTATAAATGCGTGACAAATATTTTTTCTTTTTATTATTCTTTTAATGTAAATTTATCTTCTTAATATCATCATATATTTATTTAATTTTGTTTATTATTTCTATTTACGTATTTTTTCTAATTGTTACAATTTATATTTTATTTTGCACATGAATAATATGAATGTACACATAGAACTACAATACCTAATGCCCTAGATTATGTTATAACTCTTTTAATAAAAATAATAATAGAAAGTTTTTTATGCTTTTGAGTTCTGTGTACCGGTGAGTACCGTGGTTTGACAGGTTTTTATGTCCACTCTGATCTAAAATGAGCTTTTTATTCGTGAAACTTACCAGGCATTTAAACCAGCGTGTACTTACTGACTTCTCTACCTCCTAAAATATTCTTTGCTACCCTTCCTTAATTCATGGTTGGATTTGTATAAACTGCCGACAATATATTAGAATCATCGCCACGCATTAAAGTTATAGTTCATTTTTAAAGCAATTTTACCGTCAACATTCAAGTTTCTTCAAGATAGAGAATACACCATTTTTGGTAGGTTAAAGGTTATACATTTGTAGTGGGATGTCCTACAGAACCTAGTAATTATTTCGGCAATGACCTAGAGGTTACAATCGTTTGTAATTGCCTAAGACGTTAACGAGCTAATGATACAGGCCCCTAATGTCAAACGGAACAATATATTGTTATTGAGGTTTAATGGGCGATCATCTGATCATGAACTGCTGATGAACGAGTTAAATCTATATAATGTTTCGGAGGTTGGTATTTTTCACTTAAATCTGCTACCATCCCCTCCCCTAATCTTTTCATCCAACTTTTAATGATAAAAAGTAATATAGGAAAAACCATTTTATATTGAACTAAGTTACTTAAAAATAACAAATAATGATTATTTCTGGCCATAAAGTAAATAAATATACGTATACATAATCATTAAAACTATATTAAAGAACATATGAGGAATAGTAAAACAATACATAATCAGCATTAGAAAAAAATAAAATAAATATAGATAATTGCATAGTAAAAAAAAGTAATAAAGGTTGTAGTGATTTATATACTAAAATCTTGATTGAAAATAAACTGAGGAGTGTTTTCTCGATCAGTAAAAATTAATCAGATTATAAATGAATAGAGTGATATTAAAAAGAAAGAAATTCTTGGATAATACATAGCAAAAAACCATACTTAACTAGTGCTGTGTAAAAAGTGAAAACATGTTTGTTGATATTCATAAACGATCAAATAAATGTATAATAAAAATTAGTGTGATAAAGCTTTGCTACGTAATATATAATTAGTCAGGATTTGATTGATTTGTGACTTGGAATTGGACAGTTTTAAATGTGAATAAGGATAGGGCATGCTGGATTTTAAGAGGGAGGGAATTCCAGAAAGCGGTGGAGCTAGCAATACAGGAGTGCTGAAATATAATGGATCTATGCAAAGGCGTATATAGGTCAGAAGGTCGAGATCTTATGTAAAGCAGCGGATAGAGTAGTTACAATGTAGAAGATAGTAGGTATAGGAAGGGCATGCGTTGATAATTAGTAACATGAAGTCTCCTAGACTTTAGCCCAGGAAGACTTCTCTAACTCAACTAGTAGATGGATAGCGTGAACGTCTCGAGTCCCATTAACAAATCTTAATTAGCTGTTTATAACTCTCCTTAATCTGCCTTCAAAATTCCCTGAGAGACCACCGTACAGTTCGAGGACGTAATGGCCGAGAACGTTGGTACGTGGTCCCAGAGTACTCGGTTCTGAATGTTGTGGGTTCGATTCCCACTCTGATAAGTACGCGGCGCCAACCTCAAGGTAGCCGTCAAAGCTTGTCATAATGGACCACGACCGGACTAGATCCCCCTACCATGTACCAGTACCGTACAGTTCGCACTCCTAGTCAAAGTGGGTGAAGTGAGGTAAGATACTAGGATGCTTCTTGTGAGTTCGGGAAGGAGATGAACAAATTGGTTGACCGTTATTTGAGTCGATTCCCGGAGAGGGTTTTGTTAATGACAAAGTAATAACAGCCTTAGTTTTAAACAGAGGAGTTGAATGTGGTGGGTGGGTACTTTTGGTATTAGACGACCATTTTGGACGATGTGCGGAAAGTTCTGTTGTAGTGATCACTATCCCTCACCCTTAGGTTATCAGATTTCCTTTAATGTTTACTGAGTTAGGGGAGTTCTATGTCTTTAAGAAATCACACTAATATTAAGCTCGAGGCAGCTGTCTTTCTGAAATCAGTGGAGTTTAAAAATATATCTATGTTTTTCGCGAGAAACTCATTCTTATCTAATCTTTAGCAGAAGCGGTTTTACCCTTCGCTAGGTATAAGATCCATTGAGGAAAACGTATTATCTCCTTTGCTATCTTATAGTATCTTCTTTTAAATTATATCCTCTACAAATGGCGGATGGGAGGATGACATAAGGAGTGCATATAATTACTGGGAGATGAGAGAGCTATGGAAGTTAGCGAATGGAGTGCCGCCGCCTGGCAGGTGGTCTATAAATAGGAGGTCGCCCCAGATCAATATCACAGCTCGCCGCATTCTGTCACCTCCTCTCTCTTATCTTTTATTTATCTTATTTGTCCAATTCTTTCTTACTATCTACTACTACCAACATTTTTCAATCATCCTTGCTCGTATTTAGCGTTTTTATTTTACTCGTAACTCTTCAAGTAAACCAAAGATCTCGAAGGATCTGTATGAACGACTCCTGTCTTAACCAAAGCAGTGCTAAACATTAAACGGCTGTGGTTTTATAACAATATATACAACAGGGCG